TAATTTTTTTTTTTAAAGCAGGCTCTGAAGTCCTTCACCTGAGTTTAAATGCATGCTCAACATTTACAAGCTGCATGACCTTCGGTGAGTAAATTCATTCTTCTAAGCTTCAATTTTCTTATCTATAAAGTGGGGATAATAAAAGCACCCACTTTTATAGGTTGTATTGGCATTTAAATGCGATAATGTATATAAAGCACTCTGTGTACTGCCTGGCACATAGCAAGCACTTAAACACTATGAGATATAACATTTTTTTAAAAAAAAGCAGTTCTTATGAGAGAGTTGGCTTTCATTAGTGACAGTTTGCTTGAAAGATACGTATTGGGGCTCGGATTGCCTACAGTGATGAGTCAAGCTGCCATATAGTTAGAAGACCTCTAGTTTCTTAAATGTTTTGGCCACAGCTGGAGTCCAGATGAACCCATGTCCCTATCTGAGGAGCAGTGTGAGGCTGCAGTAACTGGGGACAGACCTTGGAATCCTCTGCATGGCCCTCATGGTCTCAGGAGCCTGTCACGGCAGCACACTGGCCGCCTTCCTTGGCATCATCTAGCTTGCTGACCTGAGGGATGTGGGCTGGGAACTTGATTTACAGACTACCAGGGCACAGTGTTCTAAATGTGTCTAGAGGTGCTTAGGACTATCCCAAGCTCTGGGGCTCATGACTATAACCACACTATGATGACTATAGTACAGGTATTATCCCTATTTTATGGATAAATTCAAAGTGATTAAGAGACTTATTCATCGTTACCAAAACAGCAATCATTTTGGGGCTTGAGCCGAAGTTATTGATTCTAATTCAATACATATTTTCAAGCTATATGTACTTTTTTCATTATTCTAATAAGAAATACAGATTATTATATCTTGAATCATCAGTGATAATAATAATACCATGAGCATTTGACTTTCAGCGAAAAAACTATAATCTCATCATTAATGATATATATTACATGTATTTATGCATATGTATAGTTGTGTGTGTGTGTGTGTGTGTGTGTGTGTGTGTGTGTGTGTATGGTTGTATTACCAGAAGTTTCTTTTTTCTATTTCAGAAAACTTTTGCCAGTTGTTTTATTTACAATACCAACTTTTAAAAGGTCACTAAACTAAAGTTAACTGGACAACAATCTAGGCAGCAATCTCTTTACAAAAAGAGGGAAAGCCCAAAATGCCACTTACCATAGAGAACCCACAATTCAGTTTTATTCAAAGCAAAGAGAAAATAAATTTTTTGATCATATTGGAAGAAACTCAGCCATAGGTTTGGAGTCTGTACCCAAACTACACAGGCAATGAAGACAGTACTCTGTTAACACAATTGATTTGCTGCTGCATTTGTCTACTGTTTGTCTAATATCAACAATTATGAACAGAGCAGTACAACTAGTATTTGGAACCATCCTTACAGTGTTACAGCATCAGACACAACATTTCACCTCTCTTCATACCACTGGTTCTCTTTGCATACCTGGGCTTTCTCTTCTTCTTCTTCCTCTAAGTCACTTTTGATGTTGAAGTTCTTGTGAATTTCTTCAGGAGTTTCCCCCTTAATCATATTGGCAATGATCTTGTATGTAACATTAAGCAAACCTTTGATGTCTAAACAGTTTGCAGCCAGAATAAGTTCAAAAGTGTTCCTTGGTCAACGTTCAGGAATTCTTGGTGCCATACAGGGATAGACTCTGCTCATTTTTCTTTGTTCTCATCATCCTCAGGAGGAGAAGGGTCATCCTTGTGGTGAGTGCACCACTGAGTGACCTTTTTAAATATTGCTGCGCTAACATTTGGTAGAGTAACTGGGTCATCACCGCCTTCACTCTCCATCCCTAATCTTCTAACATGGTCTTGATAGTCACAGGTTATTTGGCAATTTCAGCATAGACTTCAAATATCTCTCCATCTGAACTCTGCAACTTAACTGAAGGCATAGCGCTCAGTCTCAAGGAGAGAATGGGTCAGAGGCTGATGAGAGCGGGGCAGCGTCAGCAGAGACAACAAGGAAAGGCAGAGAACAAGGTCACTTCTTATTACCAGTTTTGATAAATTCACACTTTTCCACCTATGATCTCTTGATTTCAAGGGCTTGCCAGGATTTGAAATTTCGTCTGTAGCCCTGAAAGAGTAATTACGGCTGTCCTGCCCATAGAACTAACCTGTGATGTTTGTCCTAGTCAGCCTCACGGTCCTTATGTACAGTTATATCACCTGGAGAATGCACTTATGAGAAGCTTTCTGCTTCATTATCCAGACTGCACATGCCTTGGCTTTCTATACTGTATAAGGAAGGGCAATGTAGGAGGCCACTTTGAGTGGTATCAGGGACTGTAGTCCCACGCAAGCTGGGGCCTGGGAGAGGCTCCCTAAGTCTTAGCCGGAAAACTGGTAGTGTAGTTGATAGGCAGGACCCAATAATAGATCCAAGGGCCCCCGGGGGAAATCAGGCCTAGCAGTAAATTACACTCCTTGAAGCAGGCTTTGTTTCTTCCTCAAGCTCTGTTGTTCTCACACAAGATAACTGGCTCAAGCTGGGAAAGAAATTTACATTATTCATGGACCCTGATCCTAAACCATTTGGCACCATTATGTTTACACTCATATCGCAACCAAGCAATTTGGTGTGTTTCCAGCCATTTGTCTTCTTCAGACATCACCTATTCTCTGTAAACATTAACATACTGATGTAATGAGATTACCTATACATTCCTGCTACCTTTCCCCCTCTTCGTAACCCTCTCAATAAAAGCCATTGAGCACAGGGGCTCGGAGCATCCCCCACTACAGGGAATCGCCATCCTCTTTCCTTGACAGGCAACCTGTGTCTGGAATGATTCTTCCATCCGCAGCAAATCTGGGGACTTCGCTGGCCGAAGTCCTCCACAGGGTTTGAATTACATGGTCTACAAAATCTCTTCATTCCATGATTCTATTAAATCATTCTAGGCAGTTTTTCACTCTTCTGGTAGGACATTGTTGATTCTACAGCTCAGATGGTCTGTCTGAGTACGTAATGGGAGTTCGTTTTGCAGCCAGTAGGACTTTCGTGTGACTTTTTTACCCTTGCTTTTTTTTATTTTTATTTTTACACATTTTCTGCTGTCAATTTTCCAGGTGTCCAGGACATAAAATATATAGTTAATTTGACAGAGAAAATATTGGGAGAAGAGACAAGTTAGGACGCTGTTTCAGTAGTTCAGAATTACATAATGAGTCAAGGGAAGAAGATAAAGGGAGAACAAACTCAAGCTGATTACAAAGATTCATGTCTAGGAAAAAGGAAAAATGATAGTGCCAACAAATTGTACTGGATTTGAATAGATGATAGTGTATATCCAAATGGAGGTGAGAGCAACTGAAAAAAGTCAGACTTAGAACCCATGCAAGTCATTATGTCTTGAGACAGAGGAGAGGTGAGCTTTCTGAAGAGGAGCATAAAGCAAGGTAAAAGAAGAACATGGACGACCCAGCATTAGGCATAGGAGACAAAGGATCGTTATAGTCCAACACACTTACGGTACTAAATATTATCCTACATACCCAATCTGTCCAGTTCCTGGGTCAGTCTTGGAAACATGGAAGCAATAACTGAAAATCTACCCTTGCCCACAATTTGAAGGAAGAGTGTGGAGGAGCCAGAATGAGAGAATCGGAAACACCTTGGCTCATTATCTGATTTAACAAAGATAAGAATCCTGAGCCTCAACACACTCACCAAACTGTAGCCTAATCCCCAGATTGCCCTGATTTCCCAGTCTGTATGAATGGTTTCTGCCTCAATTTCCGATTCTCACTGTACTTCCTTTCTGGGGTCAAAATCCTACCTGAATTTCAGTCTACTTGCTTAGGGCCCTAAATGGACTATGTCAGGTCCCTCTCACTCAAGAGTGGACCATTGACAAGGGTCCTTTTTCTTTCTTTTTTTTTTTTTCGGGTTTTAAAACTTTTTATTTGCAAATTTTAATATTGTGTATTCCAAAAGTTAAAATCATCTTAACAAAAAATGGCATTCTGATTAAACTGCATTTTGGAGCCTGCAGGACACCTTGGACCAGCTTGGTTTTTACTCTAGATTTCATTGTCATTCCATTTAGCTTCTTCCTTCACCAACATGCAAGTTCTTTTCTTTCCCTGCCAGCCAGACAGGCAGATGCGAGCAGCAAGTTTGGCCTATGTTGTCAGTAGTTCTCTGACGTGAAAAGGGGCAGCACAGTCATTTAAACTGATCCAACCTCTTTGGATCTTACAGAGTTAAACAGCTAAAAGAAATAAAATGAGAAGGCGATGCTTGTGGAGTGTACAGTGCATAAAGGTGATGCAGGCCTCATTACAATTCACCTGCTTGTTTCTCCTTTTCAATCCTTTCTTTGGAAGGCAGATTTTCCTCCTGTGTTTCTGTCTTCAATTTTGATTTATCAAATTTCTCAATCTCGGCCATATCGAGTTCATCAGACATGGTTGGGGACGAAGTAGAACGAGGTGCAGTGAATGAGAGGAGTCTGATTTTGCTCAGCAACCACCCCTGAGTCTACCAGGGTCCTTTTTCACATCAGAGACTTCCTCCTCTCTTCCCATTCCATCCTCAATATTAAAACTAAATAACAAAAGCCAAAGACCTCCACAGCTAACTGCTCCCATCTGCATACTTTCCTGCCCTTGGCTGTCAGTTCCACCTGGGATGGAACCGTGCCCTCTGGGACACTATGATTCAGCTTTGTCATCTCTTTGGATTGGAGAAGTAAGAGAAGGCTTGGGAGAGTGTGCTGTATCTGGAGCCAGGGGAGGAGAAACTTTTAGAGTAAAAGCTTGTTTTGAAGCCAATCAATTCCTGCAGAAAAATGGGGAATGAGAATGGCCTTAGATCATTTGATCTGGTGACAATTAAGTGACAGTAACAAAGAGGGCGAATGGCTTCAATAGTGTGATGGAGATAGAGGTAGAATTACAGGGAATTTTAAGTGTCTTTTTTTATAATAAAGAAACTTAGACAAGAATGATTCAATCATGAGGAAACTTTTATTTAAATCTGTTTTTGTGCACAGATCATAAAAAAGTGTTCATAGTTCACACAAAAGACTCAATTCTTATAGTTTCTTGATGCTTCCAATTTCTTCCTCATTTTCTTCAATCTTTCTTATTTTATCTTATATTTCCTACTTACCCCTCCTCATTTTCAACTATGTTCCAAAACAGAATTAGGAAAAAACCTTAATAAAATAATGAAACAAAAAGTATTTTTTCCAAGTATCTCTGGGGCCAGTATGAAGAAAGGTACAGGGGAGGTTCCTTCCTCTCACCTTCAGGAGTATGAGAATCTTAATAAACAATAATAATAGAAGATTGATCTATGCAAAGAATTTGTCATTCTTTGTCCTAAGCTGCTCCAGGGTCAGAAATGGAAATACCAGACAGAAAAGATTTAGGGGAGCTGTGGAGGGAGGTCATATGCAATCATTAAGTGAAGCCATTGTCTTGAAAAAAGCCTCCAGAGGAGAGAGTGGGTTGGCCACAGCAGCAGAATTCTCTGAAGAACCACTGGAATTCTGATGTCCCATTTGCTATGGAGACACAGGACACTACATTCCCCACTTGCATCCTTTCTCTGCCAGGAATGACTTCCTCCTTCTCTGACTGGCGAATCAGACAACCTTCAAGATCCAATGCACCCATCTGATAACGATGCCTTCTGTAACAGAAGCCTTCCCTGTGCGGAGTTCACTCCTCCATCTCCATCCTCTGGGCTCTCATACCACTAAGTACAGTACAATATTTTGAGAGCTATGAGGTAGGAGACAGTTTATGAGTTGTAAAACACTTCTAAGTCCACTGAAAAACTTGTATTTGTTTACAAGGCTGTCTGCTTGTCAGGAGCTCTCTGGCTTTTGTATCCTTAGTGTCTCATATAGTGCGTGGCATATAGTAAGAAATTAATAAGTGTGAGGGAGAAATGAGGAGAGCAAAGAAAGAAGGAAAAAAAGGAAGAGCAGGATGGAGGAAGTGAGAGAGAAAGCATCTGACTGAGCGTTCCCTGGCCAAGAAAAAGAGAAATTGATTCAGAAAAGCCCAGAGGAAAGGCACAGAAAGGAGGCAACCCAGCTTTCCAGGTCTTCTCTGCCCCTCACTCTTCTCCCTACCACTTCCTCCCACAACCCCACACAACTTTCCTCGTTTCGCTCCTAATACCTCAGTTCACCCCAGAGGGAAGGGAAGAAGCCAGGCAGGCTTCTGACTTCTTTCACCCCATCCCCTCAAACCTCATATCATCCCTTTGCCACCATGGCACCTCCCCACTTTGGCTCTGCCCTCCTCACCTACCCCACAGGCAGCGCTCCCACCTCATCGCCCTGCGTCCCAGGCCCCTGGGCTGTGCCAGGTCCAGGTGGGGACTAATGCCTCAGACTGAAAACCAAGAGGTTCTTAGGCGCATCCTATGGTGTCTGGACTGAGGAAACACTAGTATGGACCTACAAGTTACCTGAGAAAGAATATTTTCAAGAGGGTTCAGGTGTCCAAGGGACTAGTGAGTAGAGAGGAGCAAAGCCTGAGGAAAGGAAGGGCTCGACAATTAGATTTCTCCCTCTCGACTTTTCTGACTCATTCATGGATGGCCTTTCCATGTTTTTCTCCTTGATTCCTGGGGCAGAATTGTGATTTGCCCAGCTCTCTTTTGGCTACTGGAGCTTCTTAACTGTCTTCCCAGTTAGATGTACTTTTCCCACTAAGAATAGTACCAGGGTCCCTAAATCTTATAGAGTTGCTCCTGGGTCTCCTTTCCTTGCCTGGCTATTCAGCTTCTCCCCTTTTTCAATGCCCTTTCCCCGGGAATTCTGGAGACCTTTCTTCCAGGGAGATCATATATTCAAAAGCAGTTTATGAGTTTTAAAGCATTGTACTAAGATAAAATATGTACTATTATAAATAAAGCCTTCTCTTTCTCCCCTCCATCATCTCTGTCCTTCTCTCATGATGTGTCTTCTCCCCTCCTCCCCTATCCACGGCTGTTGCCCCAACCTCACCCAGCAGGTTTGGTTTGGTATCGTGTGGGACCTAAAGCTATGGTGCTACACAGTGGGCCGTGTCAGGATGCAGGCAGGCATCTCGGCCCGAGGCCTTGGCAGAGTTCCCAAGCAGAGCCATCGGCCCAGGCCAGGACAGTAAGCATGGATGAGGTAAGAGAGGGCATAAGTAAGGTGGCTGTAGCCCCCCAGCACCAGGAGTTCCCCCTCCAGCACAGCACCTGCAGCTCCCACATGTGGGGAGGGCAGGGGTGCCAATCGAGTCCAGCTATCAGTTTTTGGTTCATACTCCTCAAAACTCAGAAGGTCACCAGTCTCACCTAGCCCACCTGCGACATACAACCGCCCACCCAGAGCAGCCATGACATGGCCAGCTCGAGGTATGCCCATAGGGCTCAGAAGTGTCCCTGGCTTCTCAAGTTTGGGATCATACTGCAGCAATGAGGCCAGGTATTGGCCAGTCCCATTGCAGCCACCGCTCATGTACAATCGGCCCTCCAAAATAGCTGCTGCATGGGCAAAGCGTGGTGCTGGAAGTGCAGGTGCTGGCCTAAGGGAGAACAAGTCACACGATCAGGCAACAGTCATCCTCAACTCTCCTCTTCCAAGTCTCCTAGTCTTTCCCTGATGCCTAGAGCCACGCCCCCTTCCCTGCTTACCTCCAGACATTGAGCTCAGGGTTATAGGTCTCCACAGAGTTTAGAACAACACCATGGGCTCGTCCACCCAGAGCATAAAGTAGTCCATCCAGTGCCACCAGCGGGAAAAAACTCCGAGCCTGGTACAAAGGTGCCATCTCCTCCCAGTCCTCTTGACTGGGGTCCCACCTGTACACAGTATGACAAGAGATGGGAAGAGTGACTCTGGGAGTCTGTGGTTGGCTGGGCCAGCAGTTTCCCTCAGATGCCCACCTTGGGGGTCTACCACTCTTGTTGGAGGGGGACGTACCTGAGGGTCGAAGCCAAGGTGTTGAAGTCACTGTAGTAATCCTGTCCCCCACACACATAAATTTCATTTCCTGCTAGGCTTGCAGCCCCATGCCGGAAGCGCCCTGGGTCAGGTAGGGCAGGCAACCGCCCCCACTCCACAGTCCGAACAAGTCCAATGCCACAGCGGAAGGCCCGGGCCCACCACACTCCTCGGGAAGGCTCTGTTCCAGACAAGTCTGATTTGAGGCTGTCTCCGCCAATCACTACCAAAGCCTGATCAGGCTCTCTCCGCCTCTCTTTACCTGGAACCTCAGACTCCACCATCAACTGATGCAGCAAGTCCTGGGAAAGGGGTGGAGGCAGGCCTGCTGCCCGTACTTTCCGAAGCTCTCTGGTAGACATACGGCCAAAGCGGACACACTGAAGCAGGGCCTTGGCCTCTGACTCCTCTGTCTCAGGGTTGGCAGCTAGCCAACACCGTGCAGCCACAAAGGCCTCAAACTCCTCTTGCATGTGTAGTTCATCGCTATCCAGGAGTTCAGCCAGACAAGCAGCTGGTAAAGAAGGGAAAGTGGGGCACAAAGCTACAGCAGGCAGGTGAGTGAGCAAGTATTGACGAGCTTTGTTCCAGAGCCTCTCCAGTCCGGGGGCTTCGGCCATGGGGTAGAGGATCAGGCATCGGGCAGGGCTGAGGCCCCGTGCCAAGGCTCTCTGGCACAGAGCCAGGCAGGAAGGACTCTGGTACTGCAGAGCAGCCTGAGCAGCTCTCAGTAGTCCTGGCCATCTTGCCCGTACAACCCCAGAGTAGGCAAAAGAAACGAGGAGTCGCAGGTCCTGGGCAGAGATGGTGTGCAGAGACACCTCTGTGCCCTGGGATTCCCTCATCCCACTCAGGAGCATGGCCCCAAAGAACTCGCTGCCGCAGGCCAGGGCTGCTCGGTGCACTGAAAGAGGGAGAAGAAGCAGAGGGGTATCCAAAGTTTTGCAAACTGCTAGGCACTATCCCACTTCAGAGCCCCAGCTTTGGACCAACCACCCAAGGCCACAGGACAAACTGTGGTGTGCATCGAAATACCATGGGGTACTTGTTAAAATGCAGGTTTCAAGAACCCACCCCTGGAGATGCTAATTCAATTTGTCTGAATGGAGTTCCTAGGATTCTGTATTTTAACATTCTCAAGCACGCTGCATGACTCTCATGTTAGTGGCCTGAAGACGCTTTGATAATCATTGCTTTTGTCTTTTTGATCAAGGTCAATTAGAAAAAGAGTCTTGATGTATCAAGTTGAGAAGATGCTAGAGACAGCATTTGCTAAAAAGGGATACAAAATAGACCCTGGCCAGGTAGCTCAGTTGGTTAGAACATTGTCCCAGTAAGCCAAGGATGCAGGTGCAATCCTTGATCAGGGCACATCAAGAATCAACCAATGAATGCATAGGTGAGTGGAACAGCATATAGATGTTTCTCTCTCTCTCTCCCGCCTTTCCTCTCTCTCTAAAATCAATAAATTAAAAAAGAGGGGGCATGAAATAAACTGCAGAGGCCAATGTGAAACTTATATAGGTCTCTCTACACTGTGCAGAATAAAATTCTTTTACAATTTTAAGAGCCACCAACATCAGCCATTCTGTTATTCAGATTTTACTCAGAAAATGCTTTGACACTTAGGAATGGTTATGAGCCTACCTACTCAGACTGCCATCTCCTCTTGCCCAAGATTTAGTGCTTAAGAATTCCCATGTGTTCTAGCTTTCCTCTGCACACCCCTCACTTGGCATCTTGGTATAGTTTATGGAATCATGATATTTTAAACTAGAAACCTTCAAAATCATCTAGTTCAATTAGTCTCTTTAAGATAAGAAAACTGCATCCTAGGGAAAAGAAGAGATTTATTTTCTATTTGAAGCGGCTCTCCGGGCAGATCTTCACCATCCACTATCGCTGGTGTAAGGCTGCTCTGAACACACTTGTGCATTGATACCCTGCTTATCTGCATGACCCTTAGGACAATGTAACTGTCCTATTAACATATGCTGCTCAACAACTAGCTCTCATATACTTCCTAACATAACTCAACTTGAGGTGCTTGGCATCACCTGCGGAGTACTCTGACCAAAATATTTAACCTAAATCTAATCAAGACTTAAGCTCTAAATTCAAGTTTATAGGAATTTGAGAGGCTAACAGAACAAATTAAACAAAAACAGGAGGGGAAAGGCATACAGACCTAGAAAATGGAACCTTCTATAGGGCAACTAATCTTGTTTCTTCAATAAGTCAAGTCATAAAAAAGAGAAGGAAGAATGTACAAGAGTAAAGGAACCTTAAGAAACATACATCTGAATATAGCACAGTCCTTGATTGGCTCCTGGATTGAGCAAACCAGTTCTAAAACATTTTTGGGACAAGCAGGAAAATTTCAGTGTGGACTAGGTGACATCAAGGAATTATTGTTCATTTTGTTAGATTTGATAAAGGTATTGTGGTTATATGAGAAAATATCCTCTTTTAAAGAGAAACATACCCAAGTATTTTATGAGTGAAATGGCATAGATTTACAAATAAATTAAAATGTTAATTTTTAAGTGTAGGTGATGGGTGTTTGGGTTTTCATCTTAACACTCTCTTTACTTTGCTATGTGTTTGAGATGCTTCATAATAAAAAAGAGGGGAATGCTGCCCGAAGTCCCCTCAGGCAGGTGACACAGGGCCAAGCTCCCGTGAGGCTTTTGAGCCTCAGGCTGTTTTGACCAACTGTGGCACTTTGCCTCTCTTTGGGAGGTGATGTTGATATGGCTTTCCATGGTCTTTTTAAGCAGCACGTATGGCTCCCCAAGCGGTAAACATCAATGACAGCTTTCAAATACAATATATTGCTGGGAAAATTTGCCTTCCCTGAAGCAGTTAAACCACCTCATCTTCCATATCATAAGTTAACCTATAGCTCAGAGCCAACTGGGAAAGAGTGCATAACCATCTGTATTCATCCCTGATTCATCATTAGTCTCTACAATTTTAAGTGACAGGTTCCCATCATTAAGTTGGAATGTCTCTTAGAAAAATGAAAAGTGTTTGAATTCCGAACCCTAGTGGGAATTTTATAACTATAAAATTTACATTCCCTCTCCATTTACTCTATCTAGTGTTATCAGAAATGATAATGAACACATTAGAGGTCTGCTATGGACTGACTGTTTGTGTCCCCAGCCCCGAAACTTGTATTTTGAAGCCCTAATCCCCAATGTGATGATATTGGTAGGTGGGGCCTTTGGGAGGTAATTAGATATGAGAGTACAACCCATCTCTCTCTCCCTGCCCCCATGTGAAAATACAGTGAGAAAGTAGCTCTCTGCAAACCTGTAAAAGGGCCCTTACCAGAACCTGACCATACTAGAATCCTGACCTTGGACTTCCAGCTTCCAGAACTGTAAGAAATAAATTTTTGCTGTTAAACCACCCAATCTATGGGGTTTTGTTGTTGTCGTTGTTGTTGTTGTTGTTGTTGTTATAGCAGCCCAAACTAAGACGGGATGCTTTTCCTTCTGCGAGTCCCAGAAGCACTTTGGGTCCCCGTCATTCCTGTAATGAGCAGTAGCTATGTGTTTGGTCAAGACTCGAAGTCTGGCTTCTTTATCAATGAAATATAAGAACTGAACTAGATAATCTCTAAACTAATCCCTTTTAATTTTAAGTATTTATGTGCATGCATTCCAATTCCATTTGCCAGTTCCTACATGCTTTTGGTTTGGCTGCATAGGTGGCAATGCATGGCCTAATGAGCGCAGGATAGGCTTGTATCCTGGATCTCACCAGTTAACATCTCCTAGTTTAATGTTCTTTATCTGTGCCTAGGAATAATGGTACCTGCCTCACTACTTTTCAATGAGAATTAAAAGAGATGGCATATGTAATGAATCATGGGACCCAGTACCTCACTAAATAAATGTTAGTAGAATCTGAACTCAACTTGTTCAACCCTCCTTAGCTTTCCTTATGATGAGCAGAATTAACTTCAAAGTGCCATGGCCCAGCAGCCTTAAGATGCTGGCAAAACAGTACCAGAGCTTGCCCATTAGCTGTAGGACCATGTCAGCCATGGTGTCAAGCACACTTAGGTGAAGGGATGCCTTGAGTTTTTCCACCATGTTCCTCTGGCTTTCCCTGAGTCCTAAACAGATGATGCCAGGAAGAGCCTTTTGTTAATCCCTGTTCGAGTCAATCACTTTCTGCTTGTCCTGCTGGCATGGGCTGCACCTTAGCTCCAGCCAGCAAGCTGTTAATTCCTTGGTACTGGGCCCAGAAAAAGCCATAGCCTGGAGAGTCAGGTTAAATTTATCAGGGAGCCTAGGAAAACAACTCAACTGCGCATGCCCCAACTCTCAGTGGCTCAGTAGAGGCACCAAGGTTCCCCTAGGGGAATTCGGGCTGCAGCAGGAATCAAAATCGCTGTGGTAGGGATCAATCCACCTGCTGTTTGCACACACTTTTCGGGTAGCATTTGCACCTGAAGTAATGTAATGTCCCACAGGCCCTCACCCCGCAGCCGGCAGCCGCCTGCCTCCAGCTCCAGGTCACACCCGACGCCCTCTTGGTATAAAAGCTCAATGCTGCGCAGGTTCTCCCTCAGCTCCTCTGCCTGGCTGGGCGGCTCTTCGTCGTTCTGGGTGCTTCCAGCCCTCTCGAGTTTCCTCTGGGCCGCGGCTTTCACCCGGGGCGCTCCCAGGGCCTCCGCGGCGACCAGCACATCCCCCAGCGGGGCGGGACTCAGCACTCCCTCATAGGCAAAGGTCAGCACGGCCTCCCAGGCCCCGGGGGCCACGTCGAGGCAGAAGGGGGGTCGCGGACCAATGCCGTTCAGCAGCCTGCCTCGAAAGAGGCTGCTAACTGCGGCCAGGATCACCCGATGCACCCCGTATAGTCGCCCCCCGACTGACACCTCTTCATCCAGCAGCAACCTCTGCTCCCGCAGCCGCTGTGCCTCCGCGAAAAACTGGCTCGGGTGCTCCTCGCTGCACAGCCCCTCCGGCTCCGCGGCGCCCTCTTCGTCCTCATCTCCCTCCTCCTCCTCCTCCAAGGACAAGGCTGGAGAGGGAAGGTTCCCTGGGGCCATTGACCTGGGGCCGGGCTCTTCCAGAGGAAAGGGGGGCAAACCGGGATCCTCGTCCGGGGTCCGGGGCCAAGAGGCGTTTCTCAGGCCAGGCGAGGGGAGGTCAAGACGGTCCTTCGGGATCGCAAGGGAGACGCGCCCCCGGTCCGACGGACGGCGTTCGGAGTTCGAGACGCTCATGGCCCAAGTCGCGGGATTGCTGCGGATGGCAGAGGCAAGAGAAGAGGGGGTCAGAGCTGAACCCAGAGAGGTCGGAGGAACCCCTGCCTCCAGCCCAGCGGCGGGTCAGCAGTTCTGTCCCTGCTTCAAACCCCCGCCTACCCAGCCCCTCGCACTTTCCCCCTACCCCGCACCCCACTCCCAGGCTCAGGCAGCCAGGCTCTACCGCGCAACTCTGGGCTTCACGAGGTGCAGAGAAGCGAGCAAGAAGCGTGTGTGAAGATCCGGTCCCCGCGGCCGCACCCGACGCGTCTGGTCCTCAGCCCAGCAGCCCCCGTCCCGAGACCCCAGCGCTCCCCTTTCCTCTAACTTGAGCTTGTTCTGCTTCGGGCCGCGCAGCAGAGGGAACTCCCCCGCATCCCCGTCAGCAGCCGCACCCGCTAATTATAGCCGGCGCTGGCAGGCTGGGGCCTGGGCTCCGGCCCGGGATGACCTCCTACCCCCTTCCACCTGTAGGTCACGTCCCGCTGCTGAGCGAGGCAAATTCGGATACCAAGGACGATGCGGGGATGGGATGGAGTGAGCCAGGGCGGAAAGGCTGCGTTTATCCGACCGGGTTGGAGGGGCAAGGCGAACTGTACTGGACTGCGTACACCCGCGGAAACGTGGGGCGAAAGGAGTGACACTGTTTCGGGTCCTGCCTGGACTTTAACTGTTGATTTTCCTTGCACAGTAAAGCTGGGACCCTGGACCGACTGATGTGAAACGCAGTTGTACCCTGCTGCGTCCCTCGAGGATGGAGTGGAAGGGGGGGTGAAGGGGCAGCGGTCAGGGTTACCATCCTAGGTGACCAGCGCCCAGTAGGGGTTTCCTCCATGCCCAGGGGTAGGGTAGGTGGTGAGAGAGCGAATCCCAACCTCGTGTCTTCATAAAAGTATAGAAGACTCTACCCCTCACCTTGGTGGTTGGGATGAGGACCAGAGAGAGTGTGGAACATGGGTTTGATCTTTGCTGCAGCGGGGACCAGAGTCCCGGACTGGATGGACTAGGGGAGCTCTAGGATTCTCTGTTTGAGGCAGGACACCAGCACTCACTCCCTCAGCCCAGGCAACACCCCTTTCTCATCCTGAGACCTCTTAATCCATGCAGTTGCAGTTATCCTCATGGAGAAGGAATTTAGAGAAGGGGACAGCGATCACCTTTCTCTCCCTGCTACTGGGGAGGCAGGTCAGGCCAAGGGCTCCTGGGGCTGGCTTCCCGGGCCAATAACATAAAGGCTGTCCCAGGCTGAATAGATTCACCTAACAAGCTGATTTAACCTGGGAGTGAAGCCAGATTGTTCCTTAAGACTCAGGTGAAAGGGGTGGTGTTCCTGCGGGGGAGGGGCAGGAAGGTGGTTTGCATGGTCATGGCATCTCCCCGGGCTTTCAGAGCTGTCCCTGCTTCTCCACTTTACACTTGGGTAGCCCTGCCAACCAGGGGCTGCACTCGCCAAAATGGTTCGACAGAGAAAGGTGGCCAGTGGTTGTCCTGGCCAGAGAAAGGGGCGATAGTGACCAGCCTCTGTACTCTTTCCCCCAGTTCAGACTTCTCATGGCCTCCTCCCAGTGAGAGGGGGCCAGCACCTGGAGCCCCCACCAGGAAGAGGGGGACCCAGCAGGTAGAAACATACTGCAGGTTGGTCTCTGCTCCTACCCCACCTCCCAGAGGACACCGGACCCCTCTCTGAGTTCTATGCCAACTCCTTGGTATGGGGACTGCAGCAGCTGCTCTGCCACAGTGAGGTACATGTCCCACAGCAAACACCAGAAGACTGGATAAAATCCCCTCTTTTGGGCCATCATCTACCCTCCATTAAAGCCTTGGGACTAACACACCCCGCCCCCGCCCCCACAGCAACCCCAGGTCTATAGTCTTCCTCCTGGTTGTTGATGTGCTGGCTGGAAACAGGTCTTGGCATCTCAGCCTCATCTGTGCTGTCTCAGTCAGGGGCTAGCCTGGCTTCCACCTCTGCAGAGGAGCCCCACATCAAGCGACACCTCCAAGATGATGGGAGAATTTGGGGCCAGGCCTGGGAAGGCCCAAGTGCACTTCTGCTGGGTCATGGGAGTCATAGCTCAGGGTTCCTAAAGGTTGAGGATCTAGGCAGGGCAGAGAGGACTTTGCTCCAGAGTTCTCAGAGGATACCTCTTGGGAAGGAGAAGGGGGCAGAGGAAGATTTCAGTTTCTCCCTCACCATCCTGCTCCACCAGGGCTGCTACATGTTCCACATCTGGGGCACCATCCTCTCCCTGCAGCTGCCTTGTATCACTGCTCAGGTGGCCAGAAGTATGAGCTCAGGGCTCTGCTGGGCCAAAGGAAGGGATTCCAGGACTCAGCATGAATGAATTAAAGGGGCCCCATTCCCACCTCCACCCCAGGGCTCACAATGGCTCATTTTCCTACTCCCCGCTTTTGTCACTATCACCAGCCTATCTTAGCCATCTCCACCAATGGCAAAGTCAAGGCTGATGAGATTGTTACCACCCTGTTATCTCAGGGCCCCCAGTCTTGTAAGGAATGGCTGAAACCACAAACTGGCTCCTGATCAGGTGGCACGTACTTCCTCATCCCATAGAGTTTCTGTTCTGGGCTTTACGGTTCCATCAGGATCATCTTCGCTTTTATCAACACAGTAGCCATGGCTTTGCACACAGCAGGCTTCAGGGACACCATTTTTTTCCTGCTCAGGATACTGCCCCCCTTGCCGTGTCCTTTTCTCAAGCCAACTAACCACTCAGCCTGCACTTTTTGTGACTCCAGCCTGGACTAATTATTTTAAGAATCAGATGGAAGCATCAGATCAGCCCGCTAAGTTTCTGTGCCTCTCTACCTCTGCATTCTGCCCTTCTTGGAGGGCAGGGTGCAGCTGTGGAAAATGGATCCTGAAAATGAATTGTAGGAGGTGGGCGTGGTGACTGTGACTTTTTCCGGGCATGGGGGTCTAAGGCCGGCCCTAGGAATTGAAGTAGGGCTGAAGAGGCTGAGGAGATGGCTGTGAGAGCTGGATAGATCTGGGACGGGCCAAATGTGGGGAGTGTGTGTGTGTGTGTGTGTAGCTGGCAGAGCAGATTTCAAAGGACCCAGACCTGAAACAAGATGGTTTTGCTGGGAGAAACTCCACATGTCAGTTTTTCAAAGGGACGGTAAGGAGGATTCATTCTGAGGATTTCTTGGGATGAGCACTAGATAAGATTACAAGATGAGAAATTCTGTTTCTTGCTCCCAGATATTTACAACCTTGAGATTCACCCCTCTGGTATGGGAAGGGACACTTTGCAGTTTGAGGCAAGAAGGAAAAGGACTCCATTTAGCCACATTCTTTTATGGAAAAGACTGGTGGGAGAGACAACTAGAGGATTGGAGAGGAGAGTGAAGATGAGACAGGGGTGGGGGGAGTAGTACAAGTAGTACTCCTTCCTTTGCATTAATTTTTCTTTTTTTTCTTTTCTTTTTTTTCTTTTTTTGGTTACCCATGGTATTCCAGGTCCAAGTTATCTTCTGTGTCCTCCTCTCTTGTATCAGCTACCAAATTGGGACATTCCTCCCCGCAAATCCCAGCAGACAAGCCACTGGCTTCTTTGTGTATCTAGGTGAGACAGCGGGAAGATGACTGAGAAATGAATAATGCATTAAAGGGAATGAATGGCTCAAAATGTCCCCTCACCTTGGAGCAGCAGACCTCATTAGTATAAACCTCAGAAAAGATCCCTTGACTTCTGATTCTGAGCGTCATTTGCAAATTGACCATCAGACAACTCAGAGTCCTATTAAGTCCCAGGGATGGCTGGTTGGCAAAATTCTCTTACTCTGCCCAGCCTCACCTAAGTTACAGACACTAACCTGGGTAAAGAGGTAATAATCTAGGCTGAAGGCCAGGAAGCGCTCTTCCAAACCCCATCTTTTCTCTCTGTACTTTTATGTAGGAAGCATTTTCTTGGAAAACAGTGGCATGGTCCAGAGGGCAGTTTTGCGGGGGAAGTTTCCCATCTCCTCTTCAGCAATGGTATAGTCCCTGGGACGAATATCTCTGGGGATCCCAAGGTGAGAAGGATGTCCAGGCATGGAGTACACTCTCTCCCTCCACTAATGGTTCAACTTTTGTTCCCAGGACCCTGCTATGGCTATCCCCAAAGAACCCTCCTTGCCATCATGTGGACCACACTTTCCTACCTGGCCATCTCTGCCACCATTGGTAAGGCCCTCCACTCCTGTGTTAGATGAAGAATAACCTAGTGCCCGGGTTTCTGCCTCTCTGAGGTGCTAGGGTATAAGTGATGAAAGGAGGAAGAACATTCATCAAACATATTCAATGTATTTTACATGCCAGTAGCCTCCACCTTCCTTCACCATTTCTGCCCATTGCTCATTTCATTAATGAATTGTATCGTAGTCTATGATTATCAAATATGGCCCCTCCTTGACCTAGCCAGGTGTTTCAGTTGGTTGGAACAGCGTCTAGTACACCAAAAGGTTGCAGGTTTGATTCCTGGTCAGGGGACATACCTAGGTTGCGGGTTCCATCCCTGGTCAAGGCATGTATGGGAAACAACTGACCGATGTTTCTCTCTCACATCAGTGCCCCCCCCCCAATCAATAAACATATCCTCAGGTGAGGATTAAAAAAAAAGATCACTCCTCTCTGGCCTCATCCATATACATTTCCATTTATCTCTTTGGCACCAGTGGTGCCAGAGAGCACTGCTACCTAATCCCAGCTATGGAATGGGATTCCCTTCCCATGAAGAACTGTGTGTCCTCATTTCCAGGCTCCTATATGACTAGAGATAGGACTGACACATATGTGCAGAATGAGAGCTGCCTGGGGCCAGAGTGCCAGTATGACTGGGGTATTAGCAGTTGTTGAGAGCAAGGGTCCTGCCTCTGTGGGCTCTGAAATCACCTCCAGGTGAGCAAACTAACAGACTGACGGATAAATCTTACATAGACCACTGCTTACCAGTAATGACAAGTAGATGCACATGGGTAGGATAAAATCTTCAAAGATATGATAAAATGGCCTATGCTCCCCAACTTGTGGGAAAGCTAGGTGAAAATATGAGGTGAAATGCATTGATTCCTACCTCTACCTGCTCTTCTCAGGCCATGCGCACGGCGTGTGCCTTCAGTCCCCTGACTCAGCACTGCAGGAATCTTCAGTGCTACCCTGTCCTCTGCCCTTCGTTTCAGCCCTTCCATGTTAGCTGGTATCTTAGCAAGAAGCTTGGGTGGGGGTGGAGGGGTGGGCAGGAAAGACAGAATGTAAGTAGACTGAGCCATCCCACGAGTCGAATTTT